TGTTAGGCTATGCTTTTTAATATGGTGACCAGTGTGATACATACATATTCTTAACATAACTTTATATATATATATATATATATATATGGAAAGTTATATTCAGAAACAGAAGGTGAGGCAATCCACCCTTATTGACGCAGTGGTTCTTATAATATTCGATATTGCTTTTTTAATGCCGCATTTTACAGTTCGGTGACGCCATCCGGACAGGATTTCTGTGAGGCCCATTTAGGCCTTTCTGCCTGCAACAAAAAACGTCGAAAAAACCAACTGTAAAAAGTTAATTGGAGCCTAAGCAAGTGCGTTTAAATTATATGGAATTAGAACTAATAAGGAACAATGGGTTCTAAGAATTTCAAAGCGCTTTTGCCGACATCGATTTTAGTAATAAAGGCTTCCTGACCCTCGCCGCTTTTGAAATTACTTTTCGATTTATTAAAAGGACGGTATAAATACGCCATTGGACTTTTACAGACCTTATCTTTCTCCTCGAGTTTCACTTTTTTTTTCACAGCCTTCAATGATTGCCGACTGAAGTGCAAACTTTCAGTAGCTCCACCATCGCTCGCTTTGATGCACTTTTTCAGCTTGTCAAATCTAACATGCACGCAAAAAATAAAGTTATATGATAAGGCAAGAAATAGACACGTATACACACACATCTATATATACATACTGAACCAGAAAGGAAATGCATAGGGTTTACGGTACACATAACCTCCTTTAATTACTACTAATAATGCGCACAAATCAGCATTTTACTAAGACGGGTTAAAAAAACAAGATATATTTTCCGACAACGGACGTGATTCCAACGTTGTGTATTACAGTATTAGCAGTGTTAATCACCAGCTTAACTGAATTTCTGAAAATTCATCTTGAGTTAATCTTAGCTAGAGTGATTAAAGTCTACTCTTCAGTGACTATAACTGGGCCGAACTCACTTGGAAATCTTTTTGAGTACAGGTTTAACGAATTTTCCTCTCAGCTCGTTGACCTGTATGGTAAGTTCGTTCAGCATGAAATCGTTCTGACGAACTTCATATTCAAGGTCGTATTTAGCTTCTTCTAAAACGACAATGCGAGCGTGATATCCTGACATAACCGATTGAAGTTCCTCTAAAAACAGAGTACTTCTTCCATTAATATGCATCGTCTGTTGCCATGCTATAGCTAGTAAAAAGCCGCTCCTGTACAAAGCACCAAGACTTCATTGAAGCTTAATAAATAAGATTTGCGTGATAGACGTCCAGTCTCAATCTCATTCTAAATAGACATGTTTTAAGTGAACCTGAATAGGAAACAACCATAAAGCGTCGCTACCTTTGAAGTGATTGTTTTTTTTTTCTAGACAAGTTTGTGTATTTGTTCTGTCTATACAGCTCAGCTAAACATCTGCAGACGAAAAGATGCCAACAACACATGACGCATGTTTTTGTCTATTAGTTTCTGCGATCATATCTGACAAACATGAATATGAATGGAAGCATCTTTTGTTATATACTTCGATGTCTAGTAGTTTTCATAGTTGTGAAAGACAATTAAGATACGAACTGATATCGAAGACACGGTCTAAATCTGCCGGTTGGCCACAGCGCTCTGCGATCACCTAATGCAAAAACATGTCCAATCGAACGAATCGTTTAAAAGCCGTATTATATCGTTTTGTCAATTATTAACATTATTGAAATTACTGAAAGTTCCGATTCGCGTCATAATAAACTTTAGTTTTCTTGATCTATTTGATTAAATTATCTTCTCACTGAATCAGCCTTGGATGTATAATACCCCCCTCGCTTTACTCATGCAGTTCATGTGTTTTCTTGCATATTGCTTGGTTTCTATTAGTTTTATTATTTACTTCATTTTATTTAATGAGTTTCATAAAAATGTGCTTAATCTGGTTAACAGTATTCTCCGATTGCTTGTTTGATGCACTTTGATAGACCAAACGCACAACACATATAGCAGAGTAATGCGAAAGCTTGGAAGATACCTTCTTTCGTAGCACGGTCTTCCTTTCTAACTCTCGGAGAACTGCTGCTTGGTTCGCCTCACGAAGGAGCTTCTGTGAAACGATAAACACAAATAGATCAATCAAGGCCAGTCCTTCTTACATAGTTAGGCCTAGTGAAGTTTGTTTCTATGATTATAAATATATCTTTGAAAACCTGGCTTGCCTTCATTTCGGTTTTCGTGTACAAATGTAGTAGCCATGAGAACTCGTAAGTGTATTACATGTACCCTATAGCGTTAGGTATAATTGAGTGCTATACTTTACATTCGGCCACTAGTTATTATTATTGATATCACTGATGTGAAACGACAACTGATATGAAGATAATATGGTAACTGTATCAGCGCGTTTGATAAAGCAGAGATTTAAAATTACTGTTTCAGTGGAGCTCTCTACTGGCCAGTAAAATAGGTCAGACAGGGGTTCTGCCTTAAAGTCAATAGCTAAAAATTTCTATTGGTTAAAGTGGATTTAGGCTGTTTAGTTAGGATTAACTTTCATATTTTAGCTGAGGTAGCCTTGTTTCTATGCGTTACAGATACAACTGCGATTTTTTTAGCGTACGGTTCTATCAACAACGACTTTTTATTACGTAACGAGTTGCTTCACGCTGACATTCTTCTTATGGTTGTATGACATCATGCAAACTACGTTAAAAGTTATGGAAACAGTTAGAGTTATGGTTATAATGTGTCAACCTGAATGATACGGTCGTTGATTTCGCACAACAAGAAAGCTGTCAGGTGAAGCGCGTGTGGATTCACTTTCCAGATCTATTTTACTATGAAATGTATTTTTGTATCGTATGCATAATTTTTGAGATATAAACATACAAGTCGATGATACTAATTTGGTTACAGCCAGCAACGCTTACACGAAGTATACAATTACCTTTAGCTTTTTCTTGCGTTCGGCTGTGAGAAATCCTGATGCTTTCTTTTTTTTTGAAGCTTCCTCAAGGCGCTTTCGCACCTCAGACTTAAGCTTCTCGCGATGCTCCATCTTAACACGTTCCGCCTAAAATGAGTACAATTAGAAAATTGATTTGAACTCCACTTCACAAAAGTATCCGAGTTCTTCACAAAAGAATACATTAACGAAATGCTCCATAAGGGAGTCTATCGAAAGTTTTCTTTCATACACTTTATACAAACACGGCTGAGTATAAAACGTACTCTCCAACATATCTTGTTACTAGGTAATGGTCATATGTACACCTGCAGATCCTTTAAGGTGTACTAAGAGTGGCACTTTTGGGTAGCTGTGTGACATTCAATGTTTTCGTCGATAAAGATTTCTTTACCTTACAGCCGAATACTTATTTGAAAATGTGACTATGTAAAAGTCCGATTCAGGTAAAATGATGTTAGGCATACAAAAGGCGCACTGGTTCGCTACTGTTGATACGACTTAAACAATAATAAACTAACAAAAATAAATAAAAGTTAAAAACAATAATAAAAAATACACCTCCACCTTTTCAAAGTTTCAACTTTAAGAAGTTGGAGGTGTATTTTTCAATGTAATTTAGAATACCAACATAAAATTACCCTGATACTCCGATATGCGCCCTTGTCCAATAGTTACTATTTATTTATAATTATGCTAGGAATTTATAGATTGGGTAGTTTATTTTTTTTTTTTAAATTCTATCCTTTATAGCGACTCGTCACTTCAAATGTCGATCGTGACATTTTTTTTGGCAGTGACAGTTGAAATCAATATACGGTCGGTACTTAGATGTCGATGTTAGTCCGAAATCAACTCATACGGAAGCCATCTTACAGAGAGGAACGATCTCTACATTATTAAACTGGAGAAACTATACGTCCAGTTGAATACAGAAACTATAGATCGGTGTCATCTATTGTTATCCGGGCCACAACCTAAATTATCGATTCAAAAATGGGCGCTGGTCGTTTCCATTTAACAAAGTATCGTTAAAAGGTTCGGACGGTTTCATCATGGACACGAAATATGAAAAGTGAAAACAAGCAAAATAGGCTTAAATCTATGCTACACCTTTATATATTATTAGAACAATAATCTTAGGAAGATGAATCCGTTTGATTGATTGTTTCTATAAATCTTTGAATCAGAGTAGAGTATAAAATTTAGACGCAAAGAATCGATTGAGTGGAAAACTTCCAAATTTAGCCGAACGTATAATTTTGAAATGTTTCATACAATGTAGTTCACAAAAATAACGGCATAAATCTATTGTGTTTGCTCCTTTTTCATATTAACTGTAAATAAGGTATCAGCATGTCAAATGTTATAGAAATTAATCCCGGTTATAAGAATAGATTTCTGGAATTTGATCTGTTAGGATTACCTGTGAGGTTGATGAAAGTAAACGGGCTTATAAAAATAGTTTTTGGTCCTCTGAAATAGTTTTGATAAAATATATCATCAAATAACATCTTAGTGCTTATTCGTAGAAAAGAAAAATAGTCTCTGACAGCATTTGTGGTCTAATCTACAATAAACAGCGTTACAGCAGCCCTTCAAAAAAGATAGCGAAGCGGTAGGGTTGTCTATCACTGTAGCAGATAGGGTTTTGAACCGTTTCTAGCTACGGCGGGTTTTGACGGATTGGGTTAATATGAATGCCACGATTTTCTTCAGTCATGAAATGAGCTCTGGTGGTGATACTGATAGAAGCATCTCCTCTTCCGTACAGTTCAAATTGAAGTTAAAGCTGCTTAGATTGATCGAATGCAAAACTAGGCACGGTAACAGTGTATGTGTCAACTACGATCATTTGTGATTATTTTCTATTAAGAACGGTACTCCGTAAAATGTTCACTCATTTTATTTACGCGATAATACTCACTTCATCCATGGCGTAACGACAGTCAATCCTGTGTTGAACAGTATCTCACGTATAACGTTTTTAAGCGCCTTGCGCAGTCCGTTCTGTAGCTTCTAAGAAAATTTTCAAGGTAGTTGAATAAACACGGTGTCCATTTACCCCTCTCCTAGTGGCAAGTCGAAGACACCGATGCGCCTTCGTGCAACACTTCACCAAAACATCCGAACCATACCAGTTTGCGAGGGCGACCCTTCTAATAGCTCTCCTCCATAGATAGGAATCTAACGGTAATGACTGGATGAGCAGGCAATGTATATTCCGCGTCCCTGTATTTTGCCTGGTAGTGGCTACGGTGAGCGGCGACGACGACTACGAGATAGTCTATAAAGGAAGCACTCGCTTTCTTTCTTAGTGATGCTTTATGCCGATTGATCTTACGATCCCGGCAAAACTCTCGAACAAACAAACCTCAGCGAATCGTACCAGCTAATAACAAGGTTCTACCATTTTAATATGAAGAATAAGCGCGCATCATCTACCCTAAACCGGTCGAGTCCACATCGATATCGTTTTTATGGTTGTTAGCCATTATTTTTGCTACGTGATGGTCCCATACACGCTGTGCCAGGGCTGGTTGTGATGGACGAGTTTAATGTGACCTTTCTCCCACTTTGCACCAGAACTCTTGCAGTTTCGCTACAGATTTCGTATAACTGTGCGGACTCTCAACGGCGCGCACGACGCCGATGTTTATTTCTGAGGCCTCTCTGAGCAACCCAAGGACACTCGGACCGACGAATCGGTGGAAACAAATAACTCGAGCAGAATTACGAGTTCAGTTCATTCTATACATTAAAAAAATTTGCACTGTATTAAAATTACGTTGAACGAAAGAAAATCAGCCTATAACGAGGTAATCAAATATGAGTTTTGTAGAGTTCTACTTGCTTAAACAATCATTTTTATGTGTAATTGTTAGAACTAACGAGAGAAACGGTTTAAGTATATAGAGACAGCCATACGTATATTTCCTTATCTCGCGTGATCTTTCTCCGTCCTTTGAAAGAGGTCAGCTTACTGCATAGAACCTCATACTGGCCCAAAAGTGCTCGTCCTCAAAGCTTTGTTTAATCAACCACTCACGCAGGTTTATCGAAATTGTAATAATCAATATTTTAGTTCCATACAAAATTCAAGTCTTACTAATACCCTGACAAAAACCGTCTGATACTCTGCTACTTTCACCGATGAAACATAACTGCAGAGCTTGCTTATGGAAATAGGTCACGTGTTTTGCACAGTTATGACTGTATGTAAACTGCAGGCCTGTAAGTGCTTACCTGAACTATCAAGAACAAAGCAAATTATTCAAAAAAGCCAAAGCAGCCTTTTTTTTTTCATATATGACAAATACATATTAGCGCAAACGATAATACATTTTGCTATTCATTGCAGGCCCACCAATCCATAGGACGGTATTACAATAATGATTAAGGAAACTAGGCTTAGAAGCTAAAAAACGACTATTTAGAAAACCGATGTCAATTATTGTTGAGTAGAAAAATACAGCTGATCATCTTGAGATATTGATACGATACGTGCTATTTCTGTGTTTTAATGATACATCGTACATTGTGATAATTTGTTCTAAATAAGCTATCCTGCCACTCAATAGGTTGAGAAGGGTTAATGTACGAACCTCCGGCATCGGTCGTCCTTATTTTTATGCTCTCAATTTAGCAACTTATGCCTAAAAACTCATCACTCTAATATGAGCAACATACGAGAACTTGACCCTCGAAAAAAGTAAAGTTTCGAAATGACGACGCGTAAGTGCAATCGCGAAGCAACACCGAAATCACTTTCACAATATCACGTTGCTACGCTCTGCTTCGGGTAATTGTATCATCCCTCACTACCAACAAATCAGAGTTTTTTTTTGCCCTGGCGTTATCTTCGTGAACTAAACTCTTCAGAAAATTTCTTTCGCGAATTGTCCGTTCCAAGCTTTTGCGTGCCCATACCTGAACGTCTGTTATCCGAAAATATGAGGATCGCTAACGCGTTCTGGCAATGAGATGAGAGTTAAAATTTCCGGAACCGTCCCTTTCCACGCCGGTGTAATGTAACCGCGCGGGCTTGTAAAAGTTATTTCAGGCTGAATGTATTTCCATTCCATTGTGAAATTTGTTTACTAAGTTTAAGGTACGGCATCATAGACGTCACTTTTGTCAGTCATCTGTATATAAAATAATTTACATAAGCTCTGTTGGAGCGTACGCGCGTATTATTATACACGTATCGTATAATAATAATAATAATAATGCTAATATTAATAACGCTTGTATCGTGACTCATGTGCTTATTCTTCTATGTGGAACCTAATTGGCCTTCCTTTGCAGACGTACTTTTTTTTTTTCGAAATTTACGAAAAACAAATTTACATTGAAAAACCGAGATAGTTTACAGGCATTAGCGTACAGGAAAGCCCTAGACTTCCATGACCTATGTAAGAATTAGTGTGTCAACTGATTGTCAGAGATTGTGGCTATCAAGTCACAAGTAACAAATTACACTCACTGATTCTGAACCCCCTACTCAGGGGACGTAAAAAGGTCATTATTTGAAGGAGCTCCCGATACAACTCCATATTATGCTATTGTACTTTAAGAGCCATCTGACTCCTCGAAATAACTCTGTTGTGTTAAATCATTCATGGATTACACATATATGACGGCTTTGAGATAAAGACTGCTTGCTACAAGAAATGGGCATGGATATTTCAATATTAATGAACGGTGTTCAAGGTTGCACGATATTATTGTATTACATTACATACACCTGTTCAAACTTCGACAACAAGTTTTAACCCAAATAATGAGCATATCTACTTCTTAAAGGCGAGATCATTATTTTTATCATTTGGTTAGCACGGCTGTCATCTGAGCAAGCTAAAATGAACCTACTTATCGGCGAGTCTCCTATTTTCCTCAGCCCATACTTCACTCACTCGACTCGTTCGAAAACCACTCATCTTCCCTGATAGCATAAGATACAATGTTGCATTTGAAGAAACTACACTCGATGCATTCCACATTGAGCTATAATGACAGAATATCATGATTCTATGCTGAGATAGTAATTCAGGACACAGCACAGATGCTGCTATTCTATCGAATTGACCAATATATTTCTCACCGCCTCATAAGGCTACTTCATTTCGAGGTTCGCCATTGTGATGAGCTTCGTAATTTGCCATATAAGAGTTGTAAAGGGATAGACCGCATGTAATAGCATAATAAATTAGGTCGACTGGTGCGGGGATTTAATCGTATCATGGCTTCCTCTGTCTGTCATTAAATGAACAATGCCTTCGCTAATGTAAGTGTGGTGACCCCCCCCCCCAGTTAGGAGATCGGATATTTCAATCTGGGAGTATTTTCCTCACCATGATAGACTGTGTAGCAGTACACGTTGATTTCAAAATTATAAGTAGTTCAAGCTTGCCTACTTGTATGCTATACGTTGAGCTAACCTATCACTTTTGTAACATACGACTTCTTAGTTTATCTTATAAGGCGTTATTGTGCATAGATAAAAGCTTATTTGCTGTGTTTCGAATTTAATAAATTTTCATCAGGTATTGGCTTACAAGACGCGCATAGGCCTATCAGATGCGAACTAGGCCTGCACTAAATATGATGAGGTTATCGACAAAAACGACGACACCGAAAATCGTGTGTATGCAAAGCGTATATAAAAGAGCCATGATTGTAAGTATAGATTTTAATGCAGTTCGTCATATTATGATTACTGGTTGGTATGATGTAACGATTTAGACAATTGCGTGTACCGCACGTGCTACTTGCACTTTCACGTATTCCTTATTATGACCAACGGTAAATTACGTTAACGCTAAATTATCGGCATTTTGGTGTTTTCCGACATCAGCGCCGACTTCCTATGCACCGCTCGCAGATGAATGATCCGTTTCACTTTCCAACTAAAGTTTATTAAAGGTGTGACAGACTAGATGAAGATGGTTAGTACAGAAAAGCAATCTGAATAGTTCCGATCGTGGGAAGTGCAGACGCGGATATCGGCCGTCCAGTGCGATGATCCCATGCAACAGTCACTGCTCACTATACCGCGAGGTCGTGCACGTAGTTATGTATATGATATTGGAAAGCAGAGGAATCGTGAGAGCAGGCAATTTCTCGTTGGTGCTGATATAGTTGCTTTCGGAAGGAAATTGCTCATATTTACAAATAGTATTGTCGAAAAAAAGCGAGCCAAGACAGAGAAATCGGTCGCTAAATTGTCGGAAGCAGCGATGTGAGCTGAGAAGGACAACTGGAAATCAGCTACTCTCCTCGCAGTCACCGTGCGCTGTTTATGTGCCTTCTACATGTAGAACATATTCGTGAATTAAGTTGAAGTAAAAATCAACCAAATCAAGAAAATCGGATCGACTGTTGTAGATTCAGGTTCTTGTCGCCTCGGTGATTTTTTTTTTCTGTTTGCTTAAACTTAATAAGGTGGCCTGTTCTGTCAGGATTGGCACTTACAAAATAGGATGTTTCTCGTTTTTCTCAGCAGTACTTCAACTTGACTAGTTCGACTATTGCGTATGGGCAAACTTTTTTCGTCGATTGGAGTATCAATACTTTTCCTGTGCGCGACTCCGGCGATTTATTCGAATGCTAAAAAGTAATATATTTGCCTATGATGAAAAAATACACATATATGAGTCTATAAAGACTCGATAGGAGTACAATTTGAACTTGCATCTAGATTATAGATTTCTTTAGTTCTCTTTGCCTTCGAATAAAATTAAAAAACCTCCAGTTACAAATTGCTGTCGATATTTCTAGTGTTAAAAGAAACCTGTTCCTCCATTCCTTATGAACAAAACGTATGAGTCCAATTAACTGAATAATCTTATTTAAACAGGTGTATGTTTGCTATAAACCATAGCTTAGACCACAGCTTCAACCCATCTATGTACATAGCTTGTATGTTTATCGAAGCTAAGTGCTCAAATATTTTACAATATAATACGCTACAACGGACATACATTTTGGCAGTACAGACATAGATGCCTGCTTGCGTACTTCCACAATTAATCATCTAGGCATTTCAGTTAACTGTGGTCATATTGGG